CCTCAGACTCTCTGATCCTTAGACTCCCTGATCCTTTAGACTCCCTGATCCTCAGACTCCCTGATCCTCTAGACTCCCTGATCCTCTAGACTCCCTGATCCTCAGACTCCCTGATCCTCTAGACTCCCTGATCCTCAGACTCCCTGATCCTCAGACTCCCTGATCCTCTAGACTCCCTGATCCTCTAGACTCCCTGATCCTCTAGACTCCCTGATCCTCAGACTCCCTGATCCTCAGACTTCTTGATCCTCAGACTCCCTGATCCTTAGACTCCCTGATCCTTTAGACTCCCTGATCCTCAGACTTCTTGATCCTCTAGACTCCCTGATCCTTAGACTCCCTGATCCTCAGACTTCTTGATCCTCTAGACTCCCTGATCCTTAGACTCCCTGATCCTCAGACTTCTTGATCCTCAGACTCCCTGATCCTTAGACTCCCTGATCCTCAGACTTCTTGATCCTCAGACTCCCTGATCCTTAGACTCCCTGATCCTCAGACTTCTTGATCCTTAGACTCCCTGATCCTTTAGACTCCCTGATCCTCAGACTTCTTGATCCTCAGACTCCCTGATCCTTAGACTCCCTGATCCTTTAGACTCCCTGATCCTCAGACTTCTTGATCCTCAGACTCCCTGATCCTCAGACTCCCTGATCCTCAGACTTCTTGATCCTCAGACTCCCTGATCCTCAGACTTCCTGATCCTCAGACTGCCTGATCCTCAGACTTCTTGATCCTCAGACTCCCTGATCCTTAGACTCCCTGATCCTCAGACTTCTTGATCCTCAGACTCCCTGATCCTCAGACTCCCTGATCCTTTAGACTCCCTGATCCTCAGACTTCTTGATCCTCAGACTCCCTGATCCTCAGACTTCTTGATCCTCAGACTCCCTGATCCTCAGACTCCCTGATCCTCTAGACTCCCTGATCCTCAGACTCCCTGATCCTCAGACTGCCTGATCCTTTAGACTCCCTGATCCTCAGACTCCCTGATCCTTAGACTCCCTGATCCTCAGACTCCCTGATCCTCAGACTCCCTGATCCTCTAGACTCCCTGATCCTCAGACTCCCTGATCCTCTAGACTCCCTGATCCTCAGACTGCCTGATCCTTTAGACTCCCTGATCCTTTAGACTCCCTGATCCTTTAGACTCCCTGATCCTCAGACTCCCTGATCCTTTAGACTCCCTGATCCTCAGACTTCTTGATCCTCAGACTCCCTGATCCTCAGACTCCCTGATCCTCAGACTTCTTGATCCTCAGACTCCCTGATCCTCAGACTCCCTGATCCTTAGACTCCCTGATCCTTTAGACTCCCTGATCCTCAGACTTCTTGATCCTCAGACTCCCTGATCCTCAGACTTCTTGATCCTCAGACTCCCTGATCCTCAGACTTCTTGATCCTCAGACTCCCTGATCCTTAGACTCCCTGATCCTCAGACTTCTTGATCCTCAGACTCCCTGATCCTCAGACTTCTTGATCCTCAGACTCCCTGATCCTTTAGACTCCCTGATCCTCAGACTTCTTGATCCTCAGACTCCCTGATCCTCAGACTTCTTGATCCTCAGACTCCCTGATCCTCAGACTCCCTGATCCTCTAGACTCCCTGATCCTCAGACTCCCTGATCCTCAGACTCCCTGATCCTCAGACTCCCTGATCCTCTAGACTCCCTGATCCTCAGACTCCCTGATCCTCAGACTCCCTGATCCTTAGACTCCCTGATCCTCAGACTTCTTGATCCTTTGTAACGCTGCAGCCTGTGGATGATGCAGCAGCAGCAGCAGCAGCTTCAATTGAACGAGTTTCTTTGTTTCTCTGCAGACCTTGAAACTCCGATCGTTCAGCAGCCGACCAACGCCAGCGAGAAGACGCAGCTGATCACCGACGGACACCGCAGATACGGAGACACCTACACATGAAGCTGACAGGAAACAGGAAACGCATCACTGCTTTAATGACCCACGTGAAACTGTCACTCGTTCTGCAGCTGGATCATAGAAACACCTTAAATCAGCTCGCTGTAACTAACTGTAGGAACTAAAGTAGAATTTCTAAACTGAATAACTTGATTTGAGGTTGAAGCAACAGTTTGACGTTCTCCTCTCAGTTTCAGATGATTATTTAATTCCCCCAAATTATACTTTTAGCAGACAAGATATATAAAATAAATTAAGATCCATAATAAACAGAAGTGTGTTTAACGGCGCTGCGCCTCAGACTGTTGCTTTAATGATCAAACTGCAGATTATATTTTATTAAACTAACGCTCTGATTGTTGATTCAATGAGTGATAAAGGAGAGGCGGAGCTTAAAACAGGCTGTTAGACTTTAATATTTTGTAAACTATAATCATGATCATTAATATTTATCTCCTGTGTTGATGTAAATAATGTTTTACTTTGGATGTTTCCTTTATGAAGCTCGACGGCTGTAAAAACACTGTTTGGAAAATAAAACCCGGTAACAACACCTGTGATGATGTCATGTGGTGATGTCATGTGCTGTGTGTCCTCCTGTCCTGCAGGGGGCGCCCTCCTTACAGAACAAAGACAGCTGCTGGCTTCATGTTACAGCTTCAACATGGACTTTGTTTTATTATGAAAGGGAACACGCAGGATGTGATGTAATGGGTGTTAAAGAGACACAGGATGTTTCTATCAGGTCTGTTTCAGCTCGCAGTGCATGCTGGGAAGTCTGCAAATGATTTTTCTTTAAAAACTTTATTTAACGAGTCGTGTGAGCGCTCAGCAGTTTGTTCATGAGAGAAGAACTCGTGTTTAGTCATTTTAAGCTGAATTAACTTGAATACAAATATACCAACAGTATATATATATATATGCACTGTATTTACTTATGTATGTGTGTGTGTGTGTGTGTGTGTGTGTGTGTGTGTGTGTGTGTGTGTATATACAGTACAGGCCAAAAGTTTGGACACACCTTCTCATTCAATGCGTTTCCTTTATTTTCATGACTATTTACATTGTAGATTCTCACTGAAGGCATCAAAACTATGAATGAACACATGTGGAATTATGTGCTTTACAAAAAAGTGTGAAAACACTGAAAACATGTCTTGTGTAACACGTGTACTTTCTTCAAAGTAGCCACCCTTTGCTCTGATTACTGCTTTGCACACTCTTGGCATCCTCTTGAGGTCGTCACCTGAAATGGTTTTCCAGCAGTCTTGAAGGAGTTCCCAGCGATGCTTGGCACTTGTTGGCCCTTTTGCCTTCACTCTGCGGTCCAGCTCACGCCAAACCAACTCGATCGGGTTCAGGTCCGGTGACTGTGGAGGCCAGGTCATCTGGCGCAGCACTCCATCACTCTCCTTCTGTGTGTTTGGGGTCATTGTCCTGTTGAAAAATAAATGATGGTCCAACTAAATGCAAACCGGATGGGATGGCATGTCGCTGCAGGACGCTGTGGTAGCCGTGCTGGTTCAGTATGCCTTCAGTTTTGAATAAATCCCCAACAGTGTGACCAGCAAAGCACCCCCACACCATCACACCTCCTCCTCCATGCTTCACGGTGGGAACCAGGCATGTAGAATCCACCCGTTCACCTTTTCTGCGCCGCACAAAGACACGGCGGCTGGAACCAAAGATCTCAGACTCGTCAGACCAAAGCACAGATTTCCACTGGTCTAATGTCCATTCCTTCTGTTTCTTGGCCCAAACAAATCTCTTCTGCTTGTTGCCTCTCCAGTGGTTTCCTAGCAGCTACTTGACCATGAAGGCCTGATTCGCGCTGTCTCCTCTTCACAGTTGTTCTAGAGACGCGTCTGCTGCTAGAACTCTGTGTGGCGTTCAGCTGGTCTCTAATCTGAGCTGCAGTTAACCTGCGATTTCTGAGGCTGGTGACTCGGATCAACTTATCCTCAGCAGCAGAGGTGACTCTCGGTCTTCCTTTCCTGGGGCGGTCCTCATGTGAGCCAGTTTCATTGTAGCGCTTGATGGTTTTTGCGACTGCACTTGGGGACACGTTCAAAGGTTTCGCAATTTTCCAGACTGACTGACCTTCATTTGTTAAAGTAATGATGGCCACTGGTTTCCCTGTACTTAGCTGATTGGTTCTTGCCATAATATGATTTCTAACAGTTGTCCAATAGGGCTGTCGGCTGTGTGTCAACCTGTCTTCTGCACGACACAACTGATGGTCCCAACCCCATTAATAAGGGAAAAAAATCCACTAATTAACCCTGACAAGGCACACCTGTGAAGTGAAAACCATTTCAGGTGACGACCTCATGAAGCTCATTGAGAGAACATCAAGAGTGTGCAGCGCATCAAAAAAGCAAAGGGTGGCTACTTTGAAGAAACTAGAATATAAGACGTGTTTTCAGTGTTTTCACACTTTTTTGTAAAGCACATAATTCCACGTGTTCATTCATAGTTTTGATGCCTTCAGTGAGAATCTCCAATGTAAATAGTCATGAAAATAAAGGAAACGCATTGAATGAGAAGGTGTCCAAACTTTTGGCCTGTACTGTACATTAAGTTCATCAGAACTTGTCTCCATTCTGACTCGTATTCCAACTTCCAACAACAAAGTCACAAGTTGCTGAATGAGGCTTCTTTAAAGACATTGGTCTGCTGGTTTGTTACTGCCTCCACGTTCTCTTCCTTACAGAACACATGTTCCTGTTTTCCACATATAGTACAGTACTACTACACAGAACATGTATAACTGATGTGAGAAGTCAACATTAGAACATATAGAACATGTTACTTTATGAGCGTTGAGCTGTGGACACTCCTCCTCCAGACCAAACGTTTCTCTTGTTAATGCTGATCAATAAATTAGTCAATGATTTATTAACCATTTATTAACCTTTTCTGTGTTTGTCTGACCAGCAGGAGGCGCTGCAGCCTGCTCAGCTTCCTCCTGCTCTGAAGCTGTGGACTGTGCCTTTAATAAACCCTGTTCTGCTGTCTCACCCCCCCCCCATCACGCCTCCTCCTGACCTTTGACATATAAGGGCATGTCAGCACAGCACCGGCTGACGTCTGTGCGTCTAAAAACAGACCAAGTGCTGCTCACAGCCGTCCACAGGCCTCCAACGCTCCTCTTCTTCTTCGTCTGCTTCTTTATTTCTTTATATTGTTTAATCTCTGGGACGCCTCCCTTGTCCTCCCCCATCGTGTCCTGGTGACGCCTGTCTCCCCCGGGACACTCGCCATCATGGAGAGTCTGGAGAAGCAGCTCATCTGTCCCATCTGCTTGGAGATGTTCACCAAGCCCGTGGTCATCCTGCCCTGCCAGCACAACCTCTGCCGCAAGTGTGCCAACGACATCTTCCAGGTGAGGACACGCACAGGTGAGGACGACAGGTCCGCCCCCCGCCTTAAAGAGACAGCGCCCCCGAAGGCCTCAGCTGAGAGCTTTAGAAGCTGGTCGAACCAGCAGCGGCTGTTAAAACCTCCAGGATGCCGACATCTGAACCAAGAAGCTTGTGTTTGTTTATTTATCTTGAATATTGTCCTCTTGACGACAAATGAAAAACAGAATCTGAGTGCAGAGAAGTGGAATTTATTTCTTAATACTTTACAGAGGCAGCGGTACAGTACTTTGAGTACTCACAGGTCTGTGTTTGTTCTCAGCGGCAGCAGGTTCAGAAACAGCTTTTTCTAAAGTAAAAGTACAAAAGTAGTAGCATAAAATAGTACTTAATGTATAGTTCAAGTAAAACTACAACGTACTAGTTGATTGTTGCTCAGAGTTTTATTTTGTGTTAGCCTGTAAATAACTACAGCTGTCAGATGGAAAATGGAAATACTCATGTTAAATACAAGTACCTCAAAATGGTCCTTGAGTAAATGTACTTCATTACTTTCCCTGCTGCTAATAACATTAATGAGATATTTAACAGACACAGTCCTGGACAGAGAATTTACCTTGTTTCTACAAAGTTTATTTATTTAAGTTAATCGCTTATTTTCCTGTTAAAAACTCTCTACCTGTGTGATGCCCCGCCCCCCTGCAGGCGTCCAATCCCTACCTGTCCACAAGGAGCGGCTCCACGGTGACGTCAGGCGGTCGTTTCCGCTGCCCGTCCTGCCGACATGAGGTGGTTCTGGATCGACACGGGGTCTACGGACTGCAGAGGAACCTGCTGGTGGAGAACATCATCGACATGTACAAACAGGGAAGCAGCAGGTAACACACACCTGTTCACACCTGTTCACACCTGTTCACACCTTCATTACTTTAAACACTGCTCAGTAGATTCATCTGTAATAATACATCTTCATTATTTATGATTTAGTTTTAATCATCTGAATCTGTAACTAAAGTGTAGAGTAAGAGAAGTACAAAGAAAAAGTATATGAAAATACTTGAATAGAATACAAGTACCTGGAAAATTGTACTTGTTAAATGTTTGTGTGAGTTTTCTTCACCTCAGGATGTTGAAACGGTTCAGCTCATGTTAACAACAACAACAACAACGACAACAACATGTCTTCAGTTCTCACACTCCTCTCCCCCCACTGCTCTCAGTCTTTGTGCTAAGCTAGGCTAAGCTAGGCTAAGCTAGGCTAGCATGTGCTGAACACACAGAGGTGAACCCGATCTGTCTGACTGCAGGTCAGCAGGACGTTTACCGCTGGTCAGGACTCTGATGAAGGTGGCAGGTGTGTGTTAGCAGTTAGCGGTTAGCGGTTAGCAGTTAGCCGGGACACTCAGACAGACCCCGGCTCTATTTTTAAATGTGGGTCAGTGAGACAGCAGCTGGGCTATTTCAGTAATGTTCCTCCTGCAGGACGACGGCTGATAAACATGTTCAGGACAAACGGTGCTCAAACACTGTCAGAGTTAGACAGGCCTTCAGTACACAGTACTCTCTGACATGCCTAATACTACTGCTTTATATACATTCGCTGTATAAGATATGTAGTTTTGTTATATGATACGGAGCATTTTTAACATCTGGAAAATCAATAAAAGATTAACGTTCATTTACATATTGTGTTTTTATGTCCAGTGAACTCTGTCCTTGTTAAATTTAAAAGAAATTAAATAAAGTATGTGAAGTTTATTGACATTCTAAATCTTATACTAATACTTTAAATAATTTAATAAACTAATTTAAAAGATATCTCTTTACATAAATATGTCTCTCTATGCTTTACAAATACTGAAATGTTCAGTTCAAAAAGCTATTTGTTTCGAATTAGATGATTTATTTCAAACAACACATTCTCACTCCCAACTCATCACATATGGACGCTTGGTCAGACCCCTTGGCGTACCTTGTGTAGTGTTGGCCTCCGCGGTCAAATGAACAAAAACTAAAGATGGTTAACATTGTGAAACGGTGAAAATTGGTTAGGCTTTGGAAAAGATTGTGGTTTGGGTTAAAATTACTTACATGTCTTCACTTAAATAAGTTTCGTCACGTTACTAATGTAACTGACATGAGCTACATAAATTAATTAAAAATGTTCAATAGTGACTTTTTGTTTCACACGGGAAACAAACACTTCTGGGTGAATACAATATGAAATCTGACATGAGATGCATTCACTGTCTACAAGGAGATCACAGATTCAGGATCAGCCTCCCTGTCTGCCTGTTTCTCTCAGCAGTCGACCAGAACCTGAGCAGAAGCAGGATCAGCCGATGTGTGAGGAACATGAAGATGAGAAGATCAACATCTACTGTGTCACCCACAGCGTTCCCACCTGTTCCCTCTGTAAAGTGTTCGGAGCTCATAAAGACTGTGAAGTCGCTCCGCTGGACAACGTCTTCCAAACACAGAAGGTGAAGCTGTCTCTTACCAAGGCAACACAGACACGGGGGTTTACACCACAGACACGGGGTTTATACTACAGACACAAGGGTTTACACCACAGACACGAGGGTTTACACCACAGACACAGGGTTTATACTACAGACACAAGGGTTTACACTACAGACACGAGGGTTTACACCACAGACACGAGGGTTTACACCACAGACACGGGGTTTATACTACAGACACAAGGGTTTACACCACAGACACGGGGTTTACACCACAGACACGAGGGTTTACACCACAGACACGAGGGTTTACACCACAGACACAAGGGTTTACACCACAGACACGGGGTTTATACTACAGACACAAGGGTTTACACCACAGACACGAGGGTTTACACCACAGACACGGGGTTTATACTACAGACACAAGGGTTTACACCACAGACACGGGGTTTACACCACAGACACGTGGGTTTACACCACAGACACTAAGTTTATACTACAGACACGTGGGTTTACACCACAGACACGGGGGTTTACACCACAGACACTGAGTTTATACTACAGACACAAGGGTTTACACCACAGACACTGAGTTTATACTACAGACACAAGGGTTTACACCACAGACACGGGGTTTACACCACAGACACTGAGTTTATACTACAGACACGGGGTTTACACCACAGACACAGGGTTTACACCACAGACACAGGGTTTACACCACAGACACGGGGGTTTACACTACAGACACGGGGGTTTACACTACAGACACAGGATTTACACTACAGACACGGGGGTTTACACTACAGACACAGGGTTTACACCACAGACACGGGGGTTTACACCACAGACACGGGGGTTTACACTACAGACACGGGGTTTACACTACAGACACGGAGTTTACATTACAGACACGGAGTTTACACATTTAGATGCTACTTTTACATTAAACTGTGAGGTAGCAGCTTCTCAAGTAAAAGCAATAGCCCACTAGAGGGAGCACTGACCAATCAGCTTCTCTAAAAGACACATTGACTAAAGTGTACAAGTATCTCCATGACCTCCCTAAATGTTTTATAGTTGTATATAATGCATGTGTCTGTGTGTGCAGGCAGAGCTGACGGACTGTATCTCCATGTTGGTTGGGAACAACGAGAGGATTCAGGCCATCATCATTCAGCTGGAGGAAACCTGCAGAGCTGTCGACGTGAGTTCATCACCCATCAACACTTTCTAACTTCACTCTATTAAAACTACCGTGTGTGAGAATGTGAAGCATTCTACATGTATTATTCACTTTGTGTGAACAGATTGTAACTTAAATGTAGCCTGAGGATGGATATCTATGCAAAGGAGTAAGGAAAGCGTTTCCCAAGAGTAGTTTATTCGCGCTCCAGAGCGCCTTGTTGGGGTGGCGTTTGTTCCGGCTGATCTGGCTATGTAGTTGGAAGGTCACCTGAACTTGTTGCGCATATTTCTGTCATAGGCTGCCAAAGTGAAACAGTATTACGATCACTTCCTACTAGCAAAGAGCGATTCAACCTGCTAACTGTAAGCTAAGCTGAGCTGGCTGTGGCTTGGCGGCATGGATCAGGTGTTGGTTGCTTTGTGGCGCTGGCGTTGGTTTGCTAACAGCAGTCCGTATCATGAAGCCAGGGGTCCAAATATAATATAGGACCATTACAGACAGTAACGTTACTCTGAATGTGACTGTAATATATTTACAGCATTCAGCGTTCAGTCTCGCGTCCAGTGTTGTGGCTGATGTATGACATATATACAGTACAGACAATATAAAATACCTTAAGTGGTTAAGTGTAAAGTTCTTACTGGCTTTCCATAAAGTGCTTGATGCAGTCTATCCATTTGTATTTCCCATGTCATGTTTGTGGTGGGGGTACAGATAGGGGTGGAAAGGGGACATTTGTTGATCACACTGATTGCCTGGGGTATATACTGTTCTGAAGTCTGGATGTTTGGTGCCAATGCTTAAACTTAATGAGGTAGAACAGTTTGTGTTTTGGGTTAGTTGGATCCTTAATGACACTGCAGGCCCATCTGTAGATTCACTGATGGTAGATGGCAGTGAGGGAAGACCTGTCCCTGTGATCCTCTCGGCTGCCTTCACTACCTGCTGCAGTGTTCGATCAAACTATTATACCAAACAGGTGCTAATGATCATTGATTCAATATTTAGGCTGAAACACAATCATGAAGTGAAACAGAAGCAGCTGTGTAAGAGGAATAAACTGGTGAGGAACAGCCTCCTGTTTGCTGTGAAAGTCATTCACCAAAGCAAGACTGAGCACAGCAACAAGACACAAGGTAGTAATACTGCATCAGCAAGGTCTCTCCCAGGCAGATGTTTCCAGATGTGCTGCCCGAGCTCTTCTGAAGAAGCACAAAGAAACGGGCAGTGCTGAGGACCACCGATGCAGAAACGTCTGGCAGCAGATTAAAGACACATCACGCTTACTTCCCTTCACAGTCTGACGATGTCCAGCAGAGACATCAGCTCAGAGCTGCAGGAAACAGTGGGACCCTGGTCCACCATCTACTGTCAGAGGAGTCTGGTCAGAGGTGGCCTTCATGGAAGACTTGCAACTATGGAAACAAGGCCAAGTGACTCAACTCTTCAGGAATCACAGGTGCCAAAAAGTCAACATGTGAAACATCTGGCTGCACCAGAAGGCAGGTTGTTCACCAAAGGGCTGGAGGGTCTGAATGAATGGTCTCCTTAATGCTGAGAAGTACAGGCAGATACAGTTCCACCAGGGAGGCCTCTGATTGTCCCCAAATTCATTCTGAAGCCTGACAACGAGCCCAAACACACAGCGAGAGTCATTAAGAACTATGTTCAGCTGAAAGAAGAACCAGGAGTCCTGGAAGTGATGGTGTGGCCCCACAGACGCCTGATCTCAACATCATCCAGTCTCTCTGGGGTCACACGAAGAGAGAGAATCAACTGAGGCTTCCTGAATCCACAGGAGGACTGTGGGGAGTTCAAACAGAGGTTTGGACGGACCTACCTGCTGAGCTCCTTCGAAGACTTTGTTCAGGTGTACCTGAAGAGCTGATGCTGCTGGTCTCACCAGACACTGCTTTGATTTAGATGTTTCTTCTGTTCACTCACTTTGCATTTTGTTAATTGATAAATTAATTAAATAAATTATTAATGTGTCTATTTTTGAAAGCATTCTTACTTTACAGCATTGTTTCCCCCCCTGCCTTCATCTCAGAACTCAGAAGGTGATGCAGCGTCACAGCGGGTACCTGAGGTTTACTTCACCTGTGTTTTCAGGAAAACGGACGCAGACAGAAGTCAAAGGTGTGCGAGACGTTCGATCACCTGTTCGCTCTGCTGGAGGAGAGGAAAGGTGAGATGACCCTGAGGATCAACTGTGAGCAGGAGGAGAAACTCGACTACATCAGAGGTCTGAAGAGGAAGCACACCGACCACCTGGAGACCGCCGCCAAGCTGCTGGAGACCGCCATCCAGACCCTGGACGAGTCCGAGATGGCCGTGTTCCTGCAGGTGAACCTGAATGCACCGAGGAGGTTTAAATAATCCCAATTGACAGAAAGTTATCCAGATAAATTCAAATTAAATTCAAATTTTCAAATATTTTCTTTTATTTTTTACAAGGAATCCGGCTGGAAAGGTTAAAATAAAATATAAATCCAAGAAACATGAAATAAAAAGACCCATTTCCTGGGTCCCCCCTGACAATACCCTCACCTTTGATCCCTAATAATAACTCAATCCTGCTGTTAAGTGCCTTACAGAGTTATCTTATAACACTCTTATTTTGAAATATACAGTAGGTCATGTATACAGTAGGTTGTCAGTGTTTAACGGATTGGAATCCCCTTCAGCGTGGGCCAAAAAAGTTCATCTTCCGGGTATACTAGTGTTTCCTTTAACCCCGTCTCATAGAGCGAGCGCACCAAGCGGCTAACTTCCTGTTTAGCTCTCCGCTAACTTGAATGGGGGGTAAAATAATAATGTTGCAGCTCTTCTAGAGTTTCCAAATGTTATCTGACAAATGGATCAAACTCTGATGTCGGGGGGGGGGGTAACGGTGAAAACATGTATCCACCGTTTTACAGCTGCTTCTTTCACAATGTGCGTCTATGGGAAGTGTCTGTGGGGGTCGGTGTGCAACACGTGACAACCTGGAAGTTGTAATTCTGTAGTTTGGCCTGTGTGTCAGATGAACATATAGCATACAGCCTGTCCGCGGGCCGTCAGGTCGATCTGTGCACATAGCTGCTATGTTAACCTCATACTCATGCGATCCACCGTCTGAAAGCTAAATCCACCGATGCAAACCATTTGAAGATACCACAGCGCGTCCAATCAGCGCCTCTGTCAGACCAGCCAGTACAGCAAAAGTGACGCGACTCTGAAGCCTCACAGTAACTTAATCCACCGATCCATTATATTCCAACAGAAACGGTCTTGTTACTGTCAAAGGTCCAGACGATCCAATCCAGTAAAATATTTAGTCCAGAACACATTATTCCATCAGTAAATCCTCAGGGACGGCTGCCGCATCGCTTCAGATTCATAAATTAGCCGCTGAACTCTGACCTTTCGACTGACAGCTGATCCGACCCAATAGGAGCTCACATGTCCCTTTCACAGCCTACAGCAGCCAATGAGAGCCCGCGCCCTGTTATTTCCTGGGTAGGCCGAGCCAATTGCAAGCAATTGTGCCGATGACGGGCACTTCCTGTAGCCAATAAGATTCTGAAAATAACGATATCCAGTTTTAAGTAGGAGGTTCATGATCTGGCAGCAGAAACACGTCTGCGTGGAGCTGCCGGCTGATACGGAGCGACGCAGCAGCAGCCGCCTGCCGCCAGGGGGCGGGGCTGATTTAGAAAAAACACACTGAGACAGACGCTCAGAAAACCTGCGGAAAACAGTCACTTTTCGAAAAATATTTTAGTTTTAATGTGTTTAAACTGATATTAATCAGTTCCAGTAGCTCTTACAGTCATTCTGACTTTTGGTTTAGACAATCCAGAGTGTTTCTTTCAGAGACTCCCAAAACCAGGCAGATACTCCAGATGGTTCGAGAACTAGATTCAGTTTACTTTGGATCTGCCTTGAAGAGGCGTTTTGCAGGAATTTGACAGGAATGTTGAGGTGAACTGGAAAATAACAGTGACTTTCATCTCTCCTCCCACAGACCGCTAAACCCCTGCTCCAGAAGTGAGTATCTGTCTTTAATATTTCACATGTCTGTTATTTTATAACCATCCCTCTGCAGCGTTAACAGGACGTGTTGATGTTTGGTTGTCAGGATAGTGAAGAGCACCGACACCTCTCACCTGGATAAAGTCCAACACGGCTACGAGAAAATGGAGCACTTCACAGCTAACTTTGAGCGTCAGAGGAGAGCGCTGATGAACGTCGACTTCATCAAACGTAAGAAACATGAAGTCTTCATCTGACTGTCCAATCAGAGACACCTAAAATATACAAATGGGAGATGATTGGCTGTGTTAGGACATGCTGATGCATGGGCGCTTTAATCATTCAGTGTTTTACACAACATACATAAATTAATAGAAGTATTTAACTACTATAAGTGGGTGGAGTGTATGCTAACGTGTTAGCTTGCTATGTGTTAGCAATGGGCTACTATAATTTAATATAATGTTGACCAATGTTTTAGCTGTAAGCTACTATTATCAACCATCAACCTATAGTGTATGTTAGCTTTCATCTAATGTCATAGCAAACAACGTTTGTTAAAGTGTTGGCTGCTAACACATTCACATGGCGTATGCTGGCATGTTGGCATAGAATATGCTATTTTGTTAGCATGTATTTAAATTTTTAAAATGCTAACAGACGGAGCTACATAGAGGTACTATTTTTCACATGGAGCTACTATCATTCAGCATCGTTTATCCTTTATATTAGACGGCTAATGTGTTAGCATATAGCTAATGTATCACTTTTATGTTGACGACACCCAAATCTACATTCACTCTAAATCTGGTAAAGACATTGATGCTTGTCTTTCTGGTTGTATTTCTGAGATAAAAGCATGGATGAACAATAACTTTCTGTGCCTGAACTATCTGAGGTTATGCTTATAGGTTCCCTTCATCAAATTCGCAAAGCGGCCCCGCTGTCCTTGTTTGTTGATGGCTCTGTTCTAGAGACCCAAAGTGAGATGAGGAACCTTGGTGTAATTTTTGACGCCAGCCTCACCTTTGATGTTTTTGTTCAGAGCACTTTGAAGGCATCCTTCTTTCACCTCCGAAATATAGCCAGACTACGCCCAATGCTTAATTTATCTGTCGCTGAAAAGCTGATTAATTAATTTGTTGTCACACGGCTGGATTACTGCAACGCCGTTTTAGCCGGAGTTCCTAAAACCACAATTAACGAATTGCAAAATGTTCAGAACTCTGGATCCTGACGGGAACCAGGAAATGTGACCATATTACTCCCGTTTTGAAGTCCTTACACTGGCTCCAGGTCAGGTTCCGTGTCGATTACAAGATCATGATGTTGACATACAAGATATTACACGGCTCGGCTCCACAATACTTATCAGGGTTATTAATCCCTTATACCCCAAATCGCAGACTGCGCTCCTCACAGTGTAATCTGTTAACTGTCCCACCAATGCACCTCAAATCTATGGGTGAAATCTATGGTCTTCTGTTTATGCTCCTTCCTCCTGAACTCAGAGAAGCCCAGAGTTGGAATTTTTAACGCTCTTCTCAAGACACACTTTTTTAAACTTGCATTTGACTGCTGAGGTCTTTTTATGATTGTTTTATAGTTATTTTTATTAGTAACGTTGTTGATTTTTTACTTTTATTTTTGTTTTATTTTCCTGTGGACTGTGATTTTATGTTCAGCGCTTTGAGAAGCTGCTTTCAAAGTCACTCTATAAAATAAAGTTTATTATTATTATTTGCACAAAGCTAATGTATTGACAGGGAGCTTTTATAAATCAATATGGCTTACACTAAAGTCCTAGTAGTCTTAAGCATACTGTATGCTAATATGTTAGCATTAAACATGCTAATGTGTTAGCATAAAGCTAATGTGTTAGCATAAAGCTAATGTATTAGTATGGAGCTTTAATAATTCAGCATGGCTTACACTAAAGTCCTAGCAGTCTTATCAATAAGCATACTGTATGCTAATATGTTAGCATTAAACATGTTAATATGTTAGCATAAAGCTAATGTGTTAGCATAAAGCTAATGTATTAGTATGGAGCTTTTATAATTCAGCATGGCTTACACTAAAGTCCTAGCAGTCTTATCAATAAGCATACTGTATGCTAATATGTTAGCATTAAACATGTTAATATGTTAGCATAAAGCTAATGTGTTAGCATAAAGCTAATGTATTAGTATGGAGCTTTTATAATTCAGCATGGCTTACACTAAAGTCCTAGCAGTCTTATCAATAAGCATACTGTGTGCTAATATTTTAGCATTAAACATGTTAATATGTTAGCATAAAGCTAATGTGTTAGTATGGAGCTTTAATAATTCAGCATGGCTTACACTAAAGTCCTAGCAGTCTTATCAATAAGCATACTGTATGCTAATATGTTAGCATTAAACATGTTAATATGTTAGCATAAAGCTAATGTGTTAGCATAAAGCTAATGTATTAGTATGGAGCTTTTATAATTCAGCATGGCTTACACTAAAGTCCTAGCAGTCTTATCAATAAGCATACTGTATGCTAATATGTTAGCATTAAACATGTTAATATGTTAGCATAAAGCTAATGTGTTAGCATAAAGCTAATGTATTAGTATGGAGCTTTTATAATTCAGCATGGCTTACACTAAAGTCCTAGCAGTCTTATCAATAAGCATACTGTGTGCTAATATTTTAGCATTAAACATGTTAATATGTTAGCATAAAGCTAATGTGTTAGCATAAAGCTAATGTATTAGTATGGAGCTTTTATAATTCAGCATGGCTTACACTAAAGTCCTAGCAGTCTTATCAATAAGCATACTGTATGCTAATGTTAGCATTAAACATGCTAATATGTTAGCATAAAGCTAATGTGTTAGCATAAAGCTAATGTATTAGTATGGAGCTTTTATAATTCAGCATGGCTTACACTAAAGTCCTAGCAGTCTTATCAATAAGCATACTGTGTGCTAATATTTTAGCATTAAACATGTTAATATGTTAGCATAAAGCTAATGTGTTAGCATGGAGCTACTTCCACATTAACACTGTTGTCTCTTCAGTTGATGAGGATGATGAAGATGATGAAGATGAAGCAGTGGAGGTGAGAGGGACGCCAGCAGGAAGTCGAGTTGAGCAGCAGCAGCATGCCGCAGGAGTCTCAGCCAATCAGCAGCCTCCTCTGTCTCCTGTTCAGCCTGCAGGTGTTCAGCTTGCAGCTTTGCCCCCTCAGAGACCGCCAGAGGCTCCGCCCACCACCACCTCGCAGACAAAAAGCCATGCCCCATCACCACCAACAAGCCAAGCACCGCCCCCTCTGCCCCTGCCGACCGCCAACCCCTCCAGCCCCTCCAGCACCGCCCCTCAGGTATGACATCACATAGAATAACAATTACAACAAATTAATCTTAACTCAGGTTTAAAAGCCAACTACAGTAACATTTATAAAGGAACAACCTCACATATGAGTGCTAACCGGCTAGCAACAAAAGCTAACTAGCTTGCTATGTTAGCATGCTCAGCTAGCTTGACTGTAGATGTAGAGATGTTGGTTCAGCTCTGACGACCGCAAATTCGGAAATGAACGCAAGTAAATCAGACGAGGTTTTTAGTCACACCAGGACTCGAACCCACGGCTCCTTGTGGGCGTCGTTCACCACCGGACCATCTTCGGCAGCAGAAGCTCAGAGAGACCGAGAAGAGTCTGAAGGAGGAACAGAGACCTTCACGGCTCAGGTTCCCGCTCAGACCCTGCTGATAAAGGTTTATGGATCTGAGTCCCAGAGGCGCCTGTTGCACCTGTTCAGGTGCGGTCAAATACGCGACGGCTCAGCAGTTCCAGGTTTACCTGGCGCAGTGCATAAGACACATGCCTTTAGTGTGAGAGACCCGGGTTCAATCCCCCACTGTGACCCCTCTACCGATGTGTCCCTGAGCAAGACACTTAACCCCTCGTTGCTCCAGAGGCGTGCGACCTCTGACATGTACCGCAATTGGAAGTTACTTTGGATAAAAGCGTCAGCTAAATGTAAAATAAACACATTTTAGAATGTTATTAATTATATTACATAATGTTTTTATAATTAATACCAGATATTGACACTTTTCTCCAAAGTCACTCCATCTGCAGATAAAATGTAGCCTCGAGCCTTTTCTCTCTCAGAATGCCACGGTGAAATTGCATCTCGCTGGTGAGGGATTAAGTAAATAATTAACAACCAGCCGTTGTATTTGAAGAAATTATTAACAAAAGAGAGTAAACAGAGAAAAACTAAAACACAGCTGGTCCAGAGACCTGCTGCCGAGGGCGGCGTCGGGCATCTGGCCCCGAGCAAAGGGATCAGAATCATTTACACAGTCCAGGTTTCTGTGTTTTAGGGAACAGAGATCGTCTCCAGGCCTGGAATGAACAAGAGAGGAAACACCAAAACAAGAAAGGTTCACAGCAGGTCTGAACAGCCTGCTGGTTCACGTCTCGCTCTTCAGATCCAAAGGTTCAGGGTTCAGATCCAAAGGTTTAGGGTTCAGATCCAAAGGTTCAGAGTTCAGATCCAAAGGTTCAGAGTTCAGATCCAAGGGATCAGGGTTCAGATCCAAAGGTTCAGGGTTCAGATTCAAAGGTTCAGAGTTCAGATCCAAAGGTTCAGGGTTCAGATTCAAAGGTTCAGAGTTCAGATCCAAGGGATCAGGGTTCAGATCCAAAGGTTCAGGGTTCAGATTCAAAGGTTCAGAGTTCAGATCCAAAGGTTCAGAGTTCAGATCCAAAGGTTCAGGGTTCAGATCCAAAGGTTCAGGGTTCAGATCCTGCTCTGGATCAAATGGGTCAAACCTCATCTGATGTGTTTGAACTCAGTAAGTCTTTGTTTTACCTGCAGGCAGCGCTGCAGGGTTTAAAGAACTGTGACACAGCACAACTGTTTCTCACATACTTACATGTTTTCCTCCTCCCTCTCCTCCTCCCTCTCCTCCTCTTCTTCTTCCTTCTCGTCGTCGTCGTCGTCGTCGTCCTCCTCCTCCTCCTCCTCCTCCTCCTCTTCTTCCTTCTCGTCATCCTCCTCTTCCTCCACCTCCTCCTCCCTCTCCTCCTCCTCCTCTTTTTCCTCCTCGTCCTCCTCCTCCTCTTCTTCCTCCTCCTCCTCCTCTTCTTCCTCCTCGTCCTCCTCCTCCTCCTCCTCTTCTTCCTTCTCGTCATCCTCCTCCTCCTCCTGCTCCTCCTCCTCCTCCTGCAGGTTCAGTCTGATCAGCAGAACGAGTCGGAGGACAAGGACGGACCCAAACACGTCTTCTCCTTCAGTTGGCTCAACCAGAAGTAGAACCAGGGACTCCTGATCCTGGACCAGCCTGAGCCGGTCCTCCTCTCAGCCAGACTTCAGTTCATTGTGACCTGGTTTTACAGTCTTTTATTAGAGGACACGTTCAGCGGGCCGAAACCCTCGGAGGTTAGAATCTCTTCTGAAACAGCGTTTAAGAGACGACGTCTGAACTGTCGACATTTTGACCTTTAAACACAAAAACTGAAATGTTCTCTGTTGAAATGTCAAATAAATTATGTTTTTTATGAAGCAGTTTTTTCTTCTGTAAAGCGTCTCACCAGGCTGCGTTCAGAAACCTGACAGCTCAACACTCAGGATCAGGATCTGACAGTTAGACCCGAGGACACTTCGACATGTGGACCCGGGTCAGCTGACATCAGATGTATTCACATCTTCCACTGAACTCTACTTTTTATTCTACTGTGTCTCGTTCTCTTTTTGCTTCTTTGTGTTACTCTTAAAGATCCGTTTTAAACAGTACAGACTGAGGGCTTGAGTGTCTGTTTGCTTCCTGTTTTATTTTGAAATCGTCCGTCTCTGGTGCCCTGCTGTGTTTCCTCCCTGTGATTACCTGACGCCGGTTTCACCTGCTTCCTGAGGGTTTGGAGCTTTCTGTAGACTTGTTTTACGCTATTACCTCAGCCGGTGTTCGTTTCCCGCTGAAACAAAAAGTCCACATTGGATGTTTTTATTTAAGGTACTCGAGCAACGGTCTGTAACTCAGGCGCCGAGAGGAGCGTTGTTATTTTAAGCCAACAGAAACTGTGATTTTTCCCTAAACCCGACCAAATGCAACAGATACTTTGTCGTTGCAAAATTCATTCTCTGCATTTAACCCGTCCCTCAAGGGAGCAACATTAACCACTGCTTTTATTTTGAAAATCTAACTTGATGTTGCACATTTATTCTTGCTAGTTTGACCTCCACGTCAAAAAACGACACCAACGGCACCCAGGGGGTTAAAAAGCGTCCATATGTGACCAATCGTACGTTTACACCTTTTTTATGTTTTTTAAATAAACTAATAAATAAACTACGGAAGCCCGAAGCGGCCATCGATGTTTTTTCACCCTGTTTTCTCGGGCTAACGGGAGGTTCACACACCCCCACACCCGGGTGCCAGGACTCAAACCCACGGCTCCTGGTCGGCGTCGTTCACCACCGGACCATCTTCAGCAGCCTGAGTACTGTCCCAGTTCAAAGGTCGGTCAGATACTCAGATGTGTTCTGGCTCCGCCCGTTTTACCCAGCCTGCATCAGTGGTGACTTGTGTGGACCTGAGAGCCTGGTATCCCAGAATGCATTTCGCACCAAAAAGCGGAAATGTCGGAGGAGAAAACTGTACTTTATAATCCTGCTGTTCTTGTGCCACATACAGTAGCTTTAACAGTTTCTTATGGGATGTTGGGCCTCAGTCTGGTAGAACAAAGACTGGCCTTCTGATATCCTACAAGCCAGACCCCGGTCTGCTGGATTCCCCAAAGCCTGCCATGTGGCCTGACCACACAAAGGGGGTCAGAGAAAGCCCAGATGGCCTGTCAGTTAATTCACGCCTACCTGTGAACTCTTTGCTTTTAAAACCAAACCAAAGGTTTGTATTGGCTGAAGCTTTCAGGGGGCGGAGTTATAAAACCGAACACCTCCGAACCCTCGTCGCTGTTCCCAGTTCCTCAGGGGACTGTTAGGAGGTAAACAGACTCTTCCTGCAACTGCACCAGCAGCACAGGAGGTATTTCATCGCTGAACTTTCTTTGTTCCTGACTTCACTCGTCAGACGAGCAACTCTGTTTTCTTCTTTCCTTTTTACCTCTTTTATTTTTCTTTGTGTTACCAACACAATTTTGGATCCCTAAAGAAGCTGTTATACACAAGAGGGCTAGCATCAGAGTGCGTCCCCATGTTTTAGTTCAGGGGAGAGAGATTTTCTTGTTTTCTGCATTAAAATGCATGTATTTTTAGTTAACAGGAAATGAAGCCATCTGGTGAAAATTCTTGTTCATGTTACAGAAAAGAAAAAAATATTTCCCACATTGTGCTCAGTGATTATCTGAGACAGCTGCTCGCCCTGTTTGTCTGACAAAGCTACAGCAAAGATGTGGTGCTGTAGTGAGGATTTGCTCCAGCAGCTGGACTTTAATGTGGGTCTGAACAACAGACAAGTTTTATTGGAGATGAAAACAAATGCTGAAGATTCAGATATCAAACTGATTCATGAGAAACATCCAGAATCATCTGAGAACATTTTTATTTCTCCAACTTTGAAACAAAGGAGAAGGTGAAAACTTCCACCTCTGAAACCAGAAAGCTGGATAAACAAATACTGAAATTATTACAAAGATCAACAATTAGATGCAGAATGTGAAGGAGATTAATCAATAATAAATCAGTAGATGTTCTTTTGAACAGACAGAAACGTAGAAATCAATTCGACATTTATTTATTTCAGTTGAACATTTATTAATTCACGTTTTAATTGCAGCTGTTATTGAAGCATTTGTTACTTTTTGATTGATTAATAATTAATATTTCATCGTCTACACACATGAAATGTTTGGCAGCGTTTACTGAAAGCAGTTTGAGTTTTGAGTCATTTAATTTGTTTTCCTGAGATCTCCAGGTCAGTTAAGTCGTTATCTGAAGATAATTAAGAGGTTGTAGGATGATCTGCGGCTGGTGTCGGCTGGTCGATTACAGGACCGGTTTGAATCCTCTTCAACCAGCTAATCGTTAACGCATGCGTCCCTGTGATTGGTCCGTGCTCCGCTCACTTTTCCTGACGGCTGTTTGACGTCTTGTTAACACGCCTCTGAAACAGCCGTCAGATTCTCCTGAATGAGAAGAGCAGGAATTTCCTGTGGACGCGGGGGGAATGAAAGCAGGTGATGATTGGCTGATGGGTGTGGACGCATCGCTGCAGCGCATGCTCTACTCTGCCGGAGTTTCTTTCCAAGTTTCGCCTCGCTGCTTCACGTGCTTCAGTAAATCAGATGTACTGTTGGTGGCTGAAAACTTTTTCCTGCTCGCACAAACTTTACAACGGACGACAATGTTCTTTGCACCTGATGCCCCGCCCACTCTGCTGCGGTTTGCTCCTCCCCTCCAGACTAAAAGTTTGGAAACGCCCGTTTTCAAAAACGGAGGACTTTAGAAAGGATGAGGCCGACGCCCACGTGCTGCTCTCTGATGGGTGGCGCTGTCAGAGTTTCTGACTTGGTGTTTTTATTAGTATTTTACTTTACGTTTACTTTGCCACGACTCCCGGTCTGTTTTCTGCCGCCGCTTTTAACCCCTTGATGCCTGAATTTATTTACAATAAAATAAAATAAAAGATTTCTGTTTTCATTTGCTTTCAGGTTTATGTTCAGTTAAGTGGAAATTGTTGATTTTTTTTATAGAACATAGAATAAACTCGGGTATGATGCAAATTAGCAACAACAGGCATAATCGAGTAACCAGCGCTTGCAAAAGGTTCCCAGGTACCTTTTGAATATGCAAACGCTTTCTCAGCCGCGGGCTGAAAGGAAGAGCGGTGATGCAAATTTGCGACAATCTGCGTTAAGGGGTCAGTAACAGTCCCAGCTCGTTATTGGTCCATTCAAAATAAAATCCGGTCGGATGCATTTCTTTATTCTTTCACCATCTGCTTCGTGCCCAGCGTACCTGAACGGCCACTAGATGTGCGTTTTAATACAGATGGAGATCAGCTTTGAAACGCTGCTGTGGACGGAGAGCGGATTCATTTAAAAAAAGAAACTGTGGACGGGCCAGAGACCGACAATAATGACGCTCTGCCTCCTGCTTTTTACATTATACATTATGGCCACGGTAATCCCGGACACTGGCCCTTCCTGGGGAAAGTAATAATGTCACAGGAGCATGTGAAACAGAAAGATATTTACCTAATGTGGGGATCGAACACACAACCCTCAGACCGACAGCTAGTCTTACAAGATCCTAAGAAGGTTGGCCCTGATGTCGACCCTGTGCTAGACTAAGGTTTCTAATTAATGATGGGCGGGGAAAACAACATTGGATATCTCGACATCTTGAGAAAATGATCCCGTTATCTCAGGAAAACAGAGTAAGTAAAATGTCTGTAAAGGCAGCTGACGTGCGAGCACTAAGGGTGTGACGAGATTTCTACGTTAATGTTCTCACGCCGTGAAATACAAACGTTTGACAGAGCGAATCCACTCCACCCAGCTGACGCCACGCAGCAACGTTACTACAGCGGGTCAGGAACGTAACGCACAGCAGAGTGAAGAGCAGGCAGACTTTAGTCTCTTAATGTTCTTCTTTTCTCTGGACCTGGCAGAGAACCCAGGTCTGTGGGAGAGATTCTGAACCTGAGCAGAAAAGCTGCTGAAACCCAGGAGCTGGTAAAGTCCAGGAGTTTCCGACTGAGTTAAAGTTAAATCATTTCTCGTTGAGGTGAAAAGGAGCCACAGTCGCATTTAAAGAGGTCACTTCCCCAAACAGAGACACGCAGAGGAGGGAAGACTGAACCAGGACCCAGGAGCTGATCTGCAGGAGAACCAGATTCTGCTGCAGTTCGGTTTTAGAGTTTGAATCCTCACCTGAATTTTGTGTTTCTCTTTCCATAAATAAAAACAGTTTCACCATAAACTGGTGCAGGAATCAAAGTGTTTAATGCTCAAAGTTTTTATACAAATCAGCCTAAAGATTTCGTGACAGTAGTGTTAAAATCTGGTCTGGTGGGTTTGGGGGTCTCGTCACAGCCCTGGTTATTTGCACAGAACGCAGCTGAAGAGTCCAGGTTAAAGCCTGTTGGCAGGTTGGATGGAGACGCTGAGAGATGTTGAAGCGACAGCTGAAGATCTGAAGCTCAGACGTGGGTCTGACTCTGGATGTTGAAATGATAAAAACACTCGACAGGAAGCGAAAAGTTTGAGCGTCATTTTCCGAAGGTGTCCATCATCTTGCGGTTGCTGTCGGCCTGCTGGGCGATCTGCTCGGCCCGGGCCATCTCCAGAACCTCCCTGAGCAGGTGGAAGGTCAGGTCCAGAGAGATGGGAGGCTCGTCGGACCTCTTCCCCTTCTCCCCGGCCTCCTCTTCCTCCTCCTCCTGCTGCTGCTGCTGCTGCTCCGCCCGGGCCTGCAGGAGGCGCTGTGTGAGCTGCAGCAGAGCCCGGTTCACCGCCGAGGAGGAGGAAGATGAGGAGAGGAGGTCTGGAGCTCCTCCTCCACCCAGCCGCAGGGAGAACTCCTCTCCCAGGCGGAGGAGCAGCGGTCGGGGGAGGAGCAGGCGGCGGCTGGCGGGAGCGTCGGCGGGTCGACAGTCGGCAGAGCGGGGGAGGAGGGCGGCGAGCAGAGCCACTACCCACAACAGCACGTTCAGCTTCATCTCAGCTGCAGTCTGAAGGAGGAAACACAGGATTGTAAACCCAGAGAGCTTCATCTCAGAGACTCTTAAAGACACGTGATCACAAGGACTCAGATCGCTCGCTGGTCTCAGATCAGCAAAAAAGAAAAGTTAGAGTTGAATTAATGAGCCGCCCCTCGAAATATAACAAGCGCGTCTCACTTGTTTTTATTTAGGCACTAAAAGTCCTCCATACCTGTTCATATGTGTCCTTTCTCCTCCTATGAAGAGTTTATTATGTAATGTTTACAGTGATAATTATAATAACAACAGATATTTTACTGGCTAAATATTATTCATGTTCCAGTAAATATCTGCTGTTGTATACATACGCAGGGCCACATCACATGTAACCACGTCACCTTAAACATACTGAAAACAAAATTCCTCCGGCAATCTAATCTAACATCAGGATGTTAGGACATATTTCTATCTATGAATATATTTGATGTATACAAATGGTTATGAACACATCACTGTTGGTAACATTTTAAATGTAGTTATTGCTTCACACTAATTTTCACTTCATGCTTTCTTATATAAGAATAAACATGTATTTAAATCTTTGATGCGACGTTCATACCTGCCTGGGATTAATAAAGTTTTATTTGGGTAATTCTGCTTTATTAAATTGAAATGTAAAAGTAGTTCTCTCACCTGATCGTCGTCTGTTTCCTGTCTCTCTGTCTTCATCCACCTCAGCTGGGATCTGTCTCGCTGCGTCTCTTCGGTCAAATAGAAACGCTCGAGCTGGTTCTACTTTATATATCAGTGTGAGTATCAGGGAGGGGGAGGGGCTCTGCACGCGCTCAGACGCCTCAGTGTGAATGGGACTGATGATGATGATGATGATGACTCATAAATGATGCAGCTGTTAGATGGTTATTTATTTAATTTATTTTATCATCAGGGCAAAGATCACGTTCCTCAGTTTGTTCATCGTCCTCACCTTCATCCTCATCATCATCCTCATCATCATTTCACTGACTGTGCTCCATCAGCATCATCATGAATCTGATATTTAGAGGATAAAATCTGTTTCTTTTCTCCGACGCTGTAAAACTCAAACCGACAGCAGCTGATTTCCTGTTTGTTGGAGCGCACGACCTCGACAATGAAGATGATGATGATGACGGTGTGACCTTTCTCGTCTCGACGGTGGACCGAGTCTCTGACCTTCATCTCCTGCAGGAACAGAAGACACAGTGACAGTTCACAGGTCTCTGAGTCTGAAGGCGTCGCTGCTACAGATGTTTCAGTCTGAAACCTGCCCGCCAGGTGCGTCCTCTTCCTGTTCCCGCCCCTTTACAGCTGATTAGAAATCAGAATATTTCATTGAAGGTAGGTGCAGGGTATTTAACAGAAAACTCCAGGAGGCCGGAGTTCGTTTCTCATTTGAAACAAAAAGTGTCATAAGTTACGAAAGAAATGTCACTTAACTTTAACTTTTGTAAGTTAACTGACATACGTTAGCTAGTTATTTTAAGGCAAACCATGATCTTTTCCTAAACCCAAACCAAATTGCGACGTTTCGCAACGCTAACCACGTCAACAAAATGTTTACATAAACTTTTACAAACACTTTTATTCTGAAAGTCTAACCAGATGTTGCATATTTAATGTTGCTAACTTTCCCGTGGAGCAACACACGTTGAAAAAACAACACTAAAGGCACCCAGGGCGTTAAAAAGCAACGCCAAGGGGTCTGACCAAGCGTCCAAAAGTGACGAGTTGGGAGCGTTGAACAAGAAGAAGATCCGGGCAGATACAAACCAATCGAGAGGGAGTCTGAATGAAACTTGTTGGATCGTCTGACTGACGTGTCTGCTGTTTGGGGTCTTCATTGGCCAATGTGAGTCCTCGGTTCTTGCCTTTGACACAGTCATGGCAAGGACTGTGTCCTCCTCTCACTGCCTCTCCACAGGGGGCCCCAAGGCTCAGTGCTAGGGCCCCTTCTCTTCTCTGTTTACACCACCTCTCTGGGGCCGATGATTCGCTCGCACAGCTTCTCTTACCATTGCTACGCAGATGATATGCAACTCTATGTCTACTCTACTCTTGGTCATTCCAGCCAGCAGCTCTTCCAGCTTGTGTGGTGAAACCCTTACAAATGGTTCAGCAGCTCAGCAGCACGTCTGGTTTCTGATCAGCACAAAAGGACTCATGTCACTCTATTACTCAGTGACCTCCACTGGCTCCCCGGGGCCTTCAGAATCTAATACAAGTCCCTGATGCTGCATACAGAGTGACTCCTGGCTCTGCACCATCTACCTGAACTCCATAATCCAAGCCTATGTTCCTTCTGGGCCACTGTGCTCCCGCGACGAACGCCGCTTGGCTCTGCCATCCCTTCACACAAAGCATCCTTCTTCTGTCTCCTCACAATTCACCCTTCGCTAAGCCACGCCCCGAATACGCAGCTGGCCAATCACAGCGCAGTATAGGACTCGCTCTAACTGAGGTCCGACACTTTCATGACTGTGCTCCATTGACAATGCAAAAAGAGTCGTTTTCTAGCTTTTTCTGGCTGTATTTTTCTAAGATCTGGTCAAACGCTGTTCCTGGGGAACTTAATAGTTACAGCAGCTACCCAGAGAAGCTGAAAGGAGAAGTACGATTTATTCTCTTTCCAAAACCTAAAACAAATCCAGAAACATGTCGGCTGTGGATTGTTCCTAATGTTAGTTAGCTAACGCTAGCTAACCTCCTAGTGAATGTAACGTAATAAAGTCCTGCTGTTCTGCTTTTTAATGATTGTAATAATGAACAGAGGTCTACCAGCTGTACAGGAACACTGTTGATCCTTAATATTGTTGTCTTTTGTCTCAATAGTGAATAATAATATGGGGGTTCACTTTTACTCTGTGATCGGTAGGCTTTAGCTTCTGTCTTTAGTTGTTTCACATCATTCTGAGTCAGTCTGAGTCCGCCTGAGTCCGCCTGAGTCCGCCTGAGTCCATCTGAGTCCGTCTGAGTCTAAGTCCGTCTGAGTCTAAGTCAGTTTGAGTCAGTCTAAGTCAGTTTGAGTCAGTTTGAGTCCGTTTGAGTCTGTCTGAGTCCGTTTGAGTCAGTCTGAGTCCGTCTGAGTCAGTTTGTGTCAGTTTGAGTCAGTCTGAGTCCGTCTGAGTCAGTTTGAGTCAGTCTGAGTCCGTCTGAGTCAGTTTGTGTCAGTTTGAGTCCGTCTGACAGCCTGAATAAAACCATCAAATCCACGATGCAACTGCAAAACTGTCTGCTTCTTTCTGAGATCGCTTTTTCCAAAAACTAGACAACATTTCTCCGGGGAGTGCAGCAACGGACTGTGGACAGTTTGTCGAACTTAGCAACAGTAACTAAGGGGGGCGTGGCTTAGCAAAGGGTCAGTTCTCTCTCTGGCTCTTGTAGCTCTGTCACTGTGTTGATGTTTGTATGTTGTTCTTAAATGGAAGTCTGTTTGGATAAAAGCCAGATGAGAAACTCTAAATGTGTTTCAGATAACGAAGTCTAAACATTTTCAAATTAACAAACACACGAAGAAGAGACAAAAACTAAAAAGCAGATCTGCACCATCTACCTGAACTCCATAATCCAAGCCTATGTTCCTTCTGGGCCACTGTGCTCCCGCGACGAACGCCGCTTGGCTCTGCCATCCCTTCACACAAAGCATCCTTCTTCTGTCTCCTCACAATTCACCCTTCGCTAAGCCACGCCCCGAATACGCAGCTGGCCAATCACAGCGCAGTATAGGACTCGCTCTAACTGAGGTCCGACACTTTCATGACTGTGCTCCATTGACAATGCAAAAAGAGTCGTTTTCTAGCTTTTTCTGGCTGTATTTTTCTAAGATCTGGTCAAACGCTGTTCCTGGGGAACTTAATAGTTACAGCAGCTACCCAGAGAAGCTGAAAGGAGAAGTACGATTTATTCTCTTTCCAAAACCTAAAACAAATCCAGAAACATGTCGGCTGTGGATTGTTCCTAATGTTAGTTAGCTAACGCTAGCTAACCTCCTAGTGAATGTAACGTAATAAAGTCCTGCTGTTCTGCTTTTTAATGATTGTAATAATGAACAGAGGTCTACCAGCTGTACAGGAACACTGTTGATCCTTAATATTGTTGTCTTTTGTCTCAATAGTGAATAATAATATGGGGGTTCACTTTTACTCTGTGATCGGTAGGCTTTAGCTTCTGTCTTTAGTTGTTTCACATCATTCTGAGTCAGTCTGAGTCCGCCTGAGTCCGCCTGAGTCCATCTGAGTCCGTCTGAGTCTAAGTCAGTTTGAGTCAGTCTAAGTCAGTTTGAGTCAGTTTGAGTCCGTTTGAGTCTGTCTGAGTCCGTTTGAGTCAGTCTGAGTCAGTTTGAGTCAGTTTGAGTCCGTCTGAGTCCGTTTGAGTCCGTTTGAATCAGTCTGAGTCCGTCTGAGTCCGTCTGAGTCAGTTTGAGTCAGTTTGAGTCCGTCTGAGTCCGTTTGAGTCCGTTTGAGTCAGTCTGAGTCAGTTTGAGTCCATCTGAGTCCATCTAAGTCAGTTTGAGTCCGTCTGAGTCAGTTTGAGTCAGTTTGAGTCCGTCTGAGTCCATTTGAGTCAGTTTGAGTCGGTTTGAGTCAGTTTGAGTCCATCTGAGTCCATCTAAGTCAGTTTGAGTCAGTTTGAGTCAGTCTGAGTCAGTTTGAGTCAGTTTGAGTCCGTTTGAGTCTGTCTGAGTCCGTTTGAGTCAGTCTGAGTCCGTTTGAATCAGTCTGAGTCCGTCTGAGTCCGTTTGAGTCCGTTAGAGTCAGTCTGAGTCAGTTTGAGTCCATCTGAGTCAGTCTGAGTCAGTTTGAGTCAGTTTGAGTCCGTCTGAGTCCGTTTGAATCAGTCTGAATCCGTCTGAGTCCGTCTGAGTCCGTTTGAGTCCGTTTGAGTCAGTCTGAGTCAGTTTGAGTCCATCTGAGTCAGTTTGTGTCCGTTTGAGTCAGTTTGAGTCAGTTTGAGTCAGTTTGAGTCCGTCTGAGTCCGTTTGAGTCAGTCTGAGTCCGTCTGAATCAGTTTGAGTCCGTCTGAGTCAGTTTGAGTCAGTCTGAGTCCGTCTGAGTCAGTTTGTGTCAGATTGAGTCAGTTTGAGTCAGTTTGAATCAGTCTGAGTCCGTCTGAGTCAGTTTGTGTCAGTTTGAGTCCGTCTGAGTCAGTTTGAGTCAGTCTGAGTCCGTCTGAGTCAGTTTGTGTCAGTTTGAGTCCGTCTGAGTCAGTTTAAGTCAGTTTGAGTCAGTCTGAGTCCGTCTGAGTCAGTTTGTGTCAGTTTGAGTCCGTCTGAGTCAGTTTGAGTCAGTTTGAGTCAGTCTGAGTCCGTCTGAGTCAGTTTGTGTCAGTTTGAGTCCGTCTGAGTCAGTTTGAGTCAGTTTGAGTCCGTCTGAGTCCGTTTGAGTCCGTTTGAATCAGTCTGAGTCCGTCTGAGTCCGTTTGAGTCAGTTTGAGTCAGTTTGAGTCCGTCTGAGTCCGTTTGAGTCAGTCTGAGTCAGTCTGAGTCCGTCTGAGTCCGTTTGAGTCAGTTTGAGTCAGTTTGAGTCCGTCTGAGTCCGTTTGAGTCAGTCTGAGTCCGTCTGAGTCAGTTTGTGTCAGTTTGAGTCAGTCTGAGTCCGTCTGAGTCAGTTTGAGTCAGTCTGAGTCCGTCTGAGTCAGTTTGTGTCAGTTTGAGTCCGTCTGACAGCCTGAATAAAACCATCAAATCCACGATGCAACTGCAAAACTGTCTGCTTCTTTCTGAGATCGCTTTTTCCAAAAACTAGACAACATTTCTCCGGGGAGTGCAGCAACGGACTGTGGACAGTTTGTCGAACTTAGCAACAGTAACTAAGGGGGGCGTGGCTTAGCAAAGGGTCAGTTCTCTCTCTGGCTCTTGTAGCTCTGTCACTGTGTTGATGTTTGTATGTTGTTCTTAAATGGAAGTCTGTTTGGATAAAAGCCAGATGAGAAACTCTAAATGTGTTTCAGATAACGAAGTCTAAACATTTTCAAATTAACAAACACACGAAGAAGAGACAAAAACTAAAAAGCAGAGGGAGAAGAAGAAGAGGTGGCCTCTGGTGATTGGACGAACAGACGAGGAACAAGTCTACTCATTAATCTTCAGCTCCCCAGCTTCGTTGCGGTTCCCAGAGGATTCTGGGAGATGTGACGAGACTGACAGTTTGTCGGTCCGACTCTAATTAAACGGCGGCGCCGGCGAGTGAGTCACCGACGCTGCGAGCAGGAATCAAACAACGAGCTGGTTCCTGGTGTTTGTTAATGAGACAGCTGTGTGTCTGCAGACGGCGACCAAGAACAAAAAGACTGACTTTAAACTCCTCCTTTAATCTCTATAAACACGAATCCTTTGTAGAGACTCAAAGACAAACTTTCCCTGAAAATATCAAAGTCTGTTTTTCAGGATCCACCTGCTCTTTCATCTGGCGATCTGAACGCTGATGCTTCTGATGGCAGCTCTTTCTTTGCTAATTATTTAATGTTCTGATAATCGTTTTTACTCTCCAGCGAAGTGTTTTTCTCAGCTTCTCCAACACGAGTGAGGCGTGGAGCACAACCCCTGCAGAGACTGTGAGGATTAAATAGGAATTTGCTTTCATCTGTACATCTGGGCAGTTTACTCTTCTGTCTGTGAAGTAGTTTGGGGTAAGACGCCCCCCCCTAAGCTCAATGTCTATTTGCTGACACATTAAAGGACATTTTAGTGATTTTTTTGCATCTTTAAAAGGCCAAGCTTAGAGTAACATATTATACATATACATATATTATCAATAGCTAAGATTGACAAATTAATTTTAAAAGATTACAGCTTATTTTAAATGACAAACAATGAGATCAACTCAGGTCAGAGTGGCTTTGATGAAACAGAGGAAATGTTCAGTTCAGTGAGACGGGGCGTCTGAGCATTTGTCTATAAGAAACAGACAAATGCACATTTAAAATGTTTCCTACGTTTCATTAAGAGGAATGAAAAGAGGTCCGACTCGCCTGCAAGAACTCTGCAAAACTCCTAATGAGTCCTGGTGGAAATCAAAAGACTGAATGACTGTAAACCGTCCGAGCGCAGGAACATTATTACGAGCTGTGCTGGGAGGAACAGCAGTGATGATAATGAAGACGTGACTGCTGAGAAGTCTGGTATTCAGTTCAGATTCTGAAAGAACATGTAGAAACTCTGTCCTCCGCTCGCTGTTTGTTTCACCGGGTTTCTAATTCATGGTGTTTCACCTGGTTCTAGTCGATCTGTTAGTGTCGATCGTTAAAGACGAAGCTGAGGAAATAAAAGGATAATTTCCGGCCCGCAGCTCTGGCCAGTGTTTTATCCGAGGTCTTGGAGAGGACCTTCCTGAATCAGCTGGAACAGTTTGTCCCGACCTTTTTACACCTAAACGCAGCGCAGATCTGTCTGTTTTAGCTTTGAAGGAGA